ACCCAGGTCTTCTGCAAGAACAACCAGTATTCTTAACCACTGAGCCATCTCTCCAGCCCCACACATTTATTTCTTTTAGGTTTTTAAATTTAGTAGCATATAGATTTTAAATTATTCCTTATAATGTCTGGCTCTGACTATAAGTTTCAGAAGGGAGAAGCTGTGTCTAGCTGAGGAGCACAGGCCCAGATAGCAGAGCAGACACATGCCCAGCCTGAGAGCCTATCCAGAAACTTGACCATTCCTGACACATTTCATATTACATTTTTCCAGTAGGGGATACCAGTACTACATACACTATAGTTTCTGTGCACATAACAGAAGTGAAATAATGAATCTTAGTGAATCCTTAACAAGCAACATCCACATACAGAAATACCACATGTCTCAAGTTCCATGACTGTCATTCAAGTCCCAGAGGTCTCTCACATCTGCTGCGAGAACTGTCTTCTTCCAGGAGTTCAACCTCCCATCTCTGTATATAACAAGGGGACATGCAAATAGGGCTTCCCTCTGCTTTTGAAAGCCAGCCCAGCCCGGACCCTGCAGCTCGGGCAGAGGAGCCCTGCCCTCGATTCCCAGGTGTTACCATTCAGTGAACAGTGCTGAGCACAGACTCACCATGGAGTTGGGGCTGAGCTGGGTTTTTCTTGTTGCTCTCTTGAAAGGTAATTTACGGAGAACAAGAGACACTTCGTGTGTGAGTGGACAAGAGGGAGACGAACAATGGAAATGTGTGGCAGTTTCCTGACCGGATTTCTCTCTGTTTGCAGGTGTCCAGTGTGAGGAGAAGCTGGTGGAGTCTGGGGGAGGCTTGGTGCAGCCTGGCGGATCCCTGACCCTCTCCTGTGCAGCCTCTGGATTCACCTTCAGCAGCTATGGCATGCACTGGGTCCGCCAGGCTCCAGGGAAGGGGCTGGAGTGGGTGGCAGTTATATGGTATGATGGAAGTCAGAAACGTTATGCAGACTCCGTGAAGGGCCGATTCACCATCTCCAGAGACAATTCCAAGAACACCGCATCCCTGCAAATGAACAGTCTGAGGTCTGAGGACACGGCCACGTATTACTGTGCAAAAGACACACAGTGCGGGGACTTCAGTGTGAGCCGGACACAAACCTATAGGCAGTGTGCTGAGGACCAGCAGGGGGCGCGCAGGAAGTACAGAGTTCTGGGTCAGATCCGAGCAGGAGGAGGGGGCTGGTAGGGCTGGACACGCCCCCCCACCCCACCGCCCAGTGTCTGAGCGTCCTCTCCATGTCACAGAACCCTTTTCCCAGGAAAACTGGCCGCAGGCACCGTGTGTGCTGGTCTGTGAAGTGCCCATTTATTTTTAATTTCTGTTTCACTGTGATGTAATCTAAATACAGGGTACCCGCTAACCTGAACAGGATGCAGAGGGTCAAACAGGGAAGGAGAAACTTTGCCCTGGGCCCCAGGATCAGACACTGAGGAAGCTCAGGGACCCTGGAGGGTGCTCTCTAGACTCGGGTTGGAGCAGGTAGACCTGAGGGAGAGTGAAGCTGGAGGGTTTACTGAGTTTTCTCTCCTAAAACAAACCAACTCATGCATCTCAAAAACAGCCTCTGGGATCCATGCCTAGGTGAATTATGACTACTGGGGCCACAGTTCTCAGGAGTAAATTCCAGGGCAACACACTCTGGGTTGTGAGTATGTATGTTGTTGTTTTTGTAAACACAATTTCAAAGGGGGTCATTAGGCAGTGTTCCCCAGGATTATGCTGTCTCTACCACAAGAGCTGGAATTCTTGGTGGGCTACAAACCTTTATCTGGGCATTTGAGATACGAGCTTAGCTCCTTGTGCATCAAGCACTCTATCCACAGAGCCATCCTCCCACTCCCATTATACACATTATTAAGTACAGGATGTACTCTGACCTGAAAAAACTACAGACCATCAAACAGCAGAAGGAACTGTGCACGGTCACAAGGATGAAATTCTGAGAACGCTCAGGACCCTGGCATGTGCTCCCCGAGACTCACAGCAGAGCCCTGGTGGGCTTCGATGACAGGAGCAGTGAACAGGAAGTTCAGCAGATTCAGAGATTCATGAAGCCTGGTGGCCTTCACTCTGCGTCATCCCCACACCAGCACGCACATGAGACACGGCACGGACCCAGCTCTCGTGCTGATAACATGTGGGAGGATATGGACCTGGGAGGCTCTGGCCCCTAGACTGTGGGAACAGCACAGCTGGTGGCAACAGCTGAGCCTCAGAGAGCTGTAGGCAGCTCCTAACTAACCGAGTAAGATGTCTTTTCCTTTCCACTTCTCTTTTACTTGTTAGATTTTTGCTCCTGTAATTCCACTGAACGCAGCATGTCTAAGGAATTGTCGTTTAACATGCTGATCCCTTTTCCTTCCTCCAGGCTCCTTCCTACAACACTTATTTACACATTCCCCAAGCAAAAATGATGTGTGGCTCCTGTGACAGAAATCTGAGTTAGAGGCCCTTGTTCTGCAGCTCAGATGTATGTGCTCACGCGGTGCCTGTAGGAACCAGGGAGAGGCCAGTGAGGCCATCTCAGCGCCATTGCTGGGACCCTCTGTGTGGACTCGCTGGGAAGAGGGTGTGTGTGTTCAAATCAGGGAATAGTGATGGTTCCATCAAAACGCGGTGCCCGCTGGAAACTGACCTTCCTCTGCTCAGATGTCATGGTATTGTCTCACCTGTGACTACGGAAGACCGCCTGTAGGAACCAGGGAGAGGCCAGTGAGGCCATCTCAGCGCCATTGCTGGGACCCTCTGTGTGGACTCGCTGGGAAGAGGGTGTGTGTGTTCAAATCAGGGAATAGTGATGGTTCCATCAAAACGCGGTGCCCGCTGGAATCTGACCTTCTTCTGCTCAGATGTCATGGTATTGTCTCACCTGTGACTACGGAAGACGGGAAACAGTGACAGCAGAAGTAAGTCATTCCAGATGAATCTATTCCCTGGGTGAAGATGGATAATGACTGAAATTAAAGAGCAAAAGAACACGGAATGTTTAGGGGTCAAATGCCAAAGAGAAACACACAAAGAAATGAAGGAATAAATCTAAAATAAACTTTTAAAGAAATAAGAACTGTGTGAAAGTTGTCTAGCTCAATGTGTGCTTTGGAACTGACATGCAGAGGACAGTGCTGATGTTGGGCATATACAAGGGCTGGTTTCTTTGGAATAGAGCCTAGATCATAAGAACATGTGGTCTCTGAGGTCTGAAGGGTTAAGGTGTGCGATGGTTAGGGCTAACTGCGAGCTTGTACATGTTCAGGAAAGCCATGGCTTCCACGAATTATTGTCACATTCCATATTCAGGTTGGAAACTGAAATATCCACATATTCAGTCACATAATCCAAGAGTAGTGTCCAGTAAATCATAATTTTTCACAGATTTCAAAGTTGAATATTTGAATTTGAGAAAAAGTTGGTCTGTATAAAAAGTAATGATTCCTTGCCAGGCATCATGTGCACCTTCAACCGGGGGCAATTCTGAACAACCAGAGTGCACGTTCCTGCTGATGTCAATCACAGTCCTTGTTCCAACTTACGCCAACCCTCCCGTGGGTGCTGCACTCCACAGTTTCCCATTTTGTCCTTTTGTGGCTGGTTTTTTGGTTTGCAAGGACCCCCAGGAATACGCCAACGGAATACACCATTCTGCTGGCTGTACAATATTCAGTGTTTTTTATGTGAGTTACAAAAGTGCCATTCAGAGAAATGACTTTCACTATGGGCTCAGTGTGACTCGATAACAATCGAGGGAGTTGATCGATCTGAGGCCGTCTTCTCTGGAAATCCTTACAGGACAGCAACTGTGTGTCTTCAGGTTTGGAGACTAAGGTGACTATGGTATTGGGTTCCTGCCTACACCGACATCCTGAAGCCCATTCCCTTCATTTCCCTCCAGCAGTTTCAGGGTTACAGGGTTTAAATTAATGTCTTTAAGCCAACTCAAGCTGATTTTTCACAGAGTAAAAGAAATGGACCTAATTTGATTCCTCTGCAGTTGGATATCCTGTTTGTCCAGCATCAATAGTTAAATGAGCTCATTCCCCACTATACCCTCTGCCAGTTTTCTCAAAAAAAAAAAAAAATAGTTGACCATCACTTTGTCAGCCTACCTACAGGTCCTCACTTTGTCCCACTGACCTGTTTGTGCCATTGCCAGACCACAGGTGTCACTATAGCTCTGCAATATAATTGGAGGTCAGGCATCAGGATCTCCAGGTGTGATTTCTACTTAGGTCTGTTTTAGCTATTCAAGATCTTTGTGCCCCATGAGTTTTTGCGTTGTTCATTCTATTTCTGTGAAGTATGACATCAGAATATTCATGGGAATTGCATTGGATCTACTGAATAAGTGTATAGCATACCCCATTTCACAATATTGAGTCTCCCGGTTCAGGAGCGGAAAGTCTCTCCACAGTCTGACATCATCTTTGATTTCATTTTTCAGTATGTTGAGAATATCATTCCCTGGTTTGGTTACCTTTTTTCCAAGATACTTCATATTGGGAGCACTTTGAGTTATTTTTCCTAACTTATTGGCCTGTGAGTTTATTGTTCCTCTATAGGAAGGCTACAGATCTCTTTTTTAAAATATAGTTTTTGTTTCGTACAACTAAACAGAAAATGTTTGCTAAATCTAAGAAATTTCTAGTAGATTCTATATAAGGTATTTTAAATACAGAATTGTGTCATTGCAAATAGGAATAGCTTGGCTTCTTCCTATCTTGTTTGTACCCTTGATGTCTGCTT